AGAGAGAGAGAGAGAGAGGGGGGGGTCACAAGATCTACAATTTTTATCATTGAGCCTAATTTGTAGTTTTACCACTAGTACATTCATTTCTTTTAAGACATTTCGTGCTGGAGGTTCTGGTATCTGCGCAATATCTTGTTAATCATACATATTGTGTTCCGATTTTAAGGTCAACAAAAGGTATTTGATTACAATGAGCATGTGCCCCTCTGTGTTTATGGCTGAATGACCCCCCCCCCTCCCCACGGCATTGTTGTTTGTATTGACACTGGTGTATCAATGGAGTCCTGATGATCCGCTGGCCGCTATTGTGTCACACAGCCAACGACAGCCATCTGTTGTAAACACAGGTCAATAAGAGTGAATGGGAAGGAAAATCCTCAATAAAAACTGTTCCAATGTTATTTCACACCTACAGCCATGTTGTTTCAAACCTATAGAAGCGGAAACAATACACTTTCATTCATGTTTTACTACCATACTGTCGGTCTTACAAAAACGCTAGCGGCCGAAACAACAACTGAGTAAAATCCACTGAGCGGGAGGAAATATAAAGCCGACAGACCCGGACATCCTCCAGTTCTTCTTATCGCTTTTGCAGTGAGAGGACGTTACTGTTTCAGTGTACCCGAGTGTCATTTCTGCACATCTCTCGTGTATTTTCAAGTATGGAAAGTGTTGCAGTTCCTGTAGTGAGGTTCATCGCCGGTGACTTTTGGTCGTCCGTGAAGATGAGGCAAGTGCGTGTTCTGTGCCAGAAGACGACTACGCCTGTCCAAGTGTTGGAAGTGGCAATGGAAGACGATGACTCTGTTCGCAAGGTCATCAAGAGGATAGGTCTCACTGACCGCCGAGGCCGCGACAGTTGGCGTGAGGTTTTCAAAGAAATCAGCTTCATGGGCAACGTCTCACACCCGCATATCATGAAGATGGACTGGGCGGTGAGGTGCAAGGGCTTTGTAGCTATCTGCATGCCTCTGTGCTCACGAGGATCTTTGCACGATGCACGTCACAGTCTTAACAGTGAGCAGATAGAGCGCTACTTCGTGCAGATCGCCTGTGCACTGAGATACCTTCACGTTAGGTGCGCTGTGCACGGGGACGTGAAGCCCGGCAACATCTTCCTAGATAACTCCAACAACGCTATTCTTGGAGACATGGGGATGTCCCGCTTCCTGGCCCACGGACAAGATCGAGTGAGAAGCTGGAGTATACTTGGAACAAGAGGCTTCCTCGCTCCAGAGATCATGTCTGACGTCACTGCAGACCCTTTTCTGGTGAGTAACTGCAGACTTTTCTTCTCAGTGAGCTTGTTTGTTTGCTAGATCTAGTTTGAATAATTTATTTAACTTCCTGTTATTTTACATGTCTTTTGTTGCTTTGTTTGTTTATTTGTCTCTCAATCTGTGTGTTTTGTGTTCGTTTGGTTATTTGTCGTTGTTTTCGTTGTTAGTAGTAGTAGTAGTGTTGAAGTTTACGTGTTGTTGTAAGCTGTGATTTTCTTTTAATTAGGCCGTATGCAGTACTTCCTTCATTCGTTTTTCTTTTGTGGTTTTGTTTCTTTCTTTTTTGCTTATGTATTTATAGTTAATATCTTTGTTTATTCACCTTTTCTTTTTTCTGAGTGCTCTGTGAAAGTCTTTGTGTACTACAGCAACTTGTTGTTACACACTCTTAACAAACGCTATATTTTGTCTCTATGCAGACGGACGCGTACGCACTTGGAGCAACGCTGTGGTGTCTGGTCTTCAAACGTAACCCTCGCAACTGGGAGGATCTTCTGACCGCTATGGAGTCCGACAGCAACCTGCTGCCACGCTTGGGCTTCTACCGGTAAGCACGCCGTTCTTTGGGTTCTTTAGCACAGCCTTCTTAATTTTCTTTAACTTTAACGTAGACCTGTTCAGTACTCTTGACTGTTATCACTACTGCTGTTAATTTCTCCTCAGTGAAAAATGAATTGTTCCTTTAGTAGCTACTTACTTTTTGTCTTTCACGTATAAGCATGTCATCCATTTACAATGTACATGTACTTGCTTTCTCTTGAGGTTGCCGGTTGCTTATCTCAGTGCCATTGCTTTCTCCACAGATTCGTTCTCTCCAGGCTTGTGCAGAACAACCCACGACTCCGACTTTCAGTCTGCGATCTCCTGGGATTCCTGCGTCTGCGTTTTGAGAGGTTCAGGGTAACCATAGACTCTCTGTAATAGGCGCAAGTGCTGCTTTTGCGTTCTTTATTTTTTACTTTACTAACAAAAGTTGTGTCCTAGTTTTCCGACTTTTCACCCGCTCTCGTTTAACTAATATAACTAATACTCTAACTGCTCATAGTTTTTAAAAATTGGAATACAGTACTACTAATTTACTTAGAAATGTGTCTCCTCAACAACATGTGTCACGTGTTTTGTACCAGTGTCTGTCTTACACGACAGGTAACTAGAAGAAAGACCACTTAGCCCTGCGAATGGAGTGAAGAAGGAAGAAAGGCTACATCAAGGTAAGCATCGCGTGGTACAATGTATATCACAGCTGAGATGATCATGTGCATTATTACCACCAGTCCACAAGGACTTGCACACGTTGCTGGTGAGTAGTTACCTTCAGTCATTGAGGGGGGTTTGCTACCTACAGAGTGGACACAACATTTTCTCTATTTAATTTTACTAACACAGTTGTGTCACAGTAACTGGAAAGCTTAAGTTCTATCTAACACAGTGGTTTTTCTCTCGCTTGTTTTTTAAATGTTGTTTCCGTTATCAAGTTACTAACAAGCCGTAATTATTCCAACCACTGTGGGGGCAGTGC